AAGAAAGGTTTTGGGAACAAGCACATAAACAGTGCTGCTTTTTTTTTTTTTTTAAGATTTTATTTTTTTTCCTTTTTCTCCCCAAAGCCCCCCGATACATAGTTGTATATTCTTCGTTGTGGGTCCTTCTAGTTGTGGCATGTGGGATGCTGCCTCAGCGTGGTTTGATGAGCAGTGCCACGTCCGCGTCCAGGATTACGAACCAACGAAACACTGGGCCGCCTGCAGCTGAGCGTGATAACTTAACCACTCGGCCACGGGGCCAGCCCCTAAACAGTGCTTTTTAAAACAACCTGAAGGGACTCTCAGTGCTAGCTTCTTCCCACACCTGCTGTTTATCCTTCTATCTCATGCCCTGTGGTATGGTTCTGAACCCTTCCCACTGTCCTCAGATCCCCAGACTCATCCTCTGACTCTCAGACATAGACTTCTCCACTGAGCATCTGTACCCTCTAATACAATGGCCACTAGCCCCATGTGACTGTTGAGAACTTGAAATCTGGTTAGTCTGACTTGGGATGTGCTGTTAAGTGTGAAGACTTACTGTGAAAAAAAGAATATAGAATATCTCAATAAATGTTTATATTGATTACATGTTGAGATGTAATCAATAATGTGTTTTGCATATATTAGGTTAAATAAAATATTAAAATTATTTTCACATATTCCTTTTACTTTTTTTAACCTCTGTGGCCACATTATATTTCTGTTGGACAGTGCTGTGCTAAATATGTGATTTCCATCCATCCTTTCCTTCCCTCATTTTTTTTTTTTTGAGGAAGATTAGCCCTGAGCTAACTACTGCCAAACCTCCTCTTTTTGCTGAGGAAGACTGGCTTTGAGCTAACATCCATGCCTATCTTCCTCTAGTTTATACGTGGGACACCTACCACAACATGGCTTTTGCCAAGTGGTACCATGTCAGCACCCGGAATCTGAACCAGTGAACCCTGGGCCGTCAAGAAGCAGAATGTGGGAACTTAACCGCTGCACCACCGGGCCAGCCCCCTCCTTCTGTTTTTGCTCCCATTTCGCTTCTTTGCCCCAGGCTCTCACCTTCCTCTGGTTTCCTACAGTGCTCAGGTGAATAGGACATCTCTGCCCAGGACACCCCAGGCAAATAGAAAAACTCACCTTTGAACACTTGCTTCTTTGATTGACATTAGAGTTGGCTGTGTGCATGTCTGTGTCCTTTTCTAGACTGCAAGTTTTTTGAGGGCATAGTCCTGTCACGTTTACTTTTATGGCCCTCCTAGGGCATCTTGTGTGAAGAGGCACGCTCTAATTGTTTGATAGAATTACCACCAAATCAGGACATCTACAGTACTGCCTCCGTGGTGTCCCTGATGAATAGAACTGCTGTGTTGGTGTGCTGAGTTTGAGGGAACCTCTTTCTTCTCCCCTGAATTCCCAGGAAAGCTTTTTTCTGGCTGTCCTTTCTTTCACCACCTTTATTAAACACCTGTTTCTCTGTGCCCAGTTGTGTTCTAAATGCTGCTGGTTTTAGTCTGAATCTACATTATTTCAAACCTGTGAGTGAACACTGACACAGTTTCCTAAGCCTTCTGTCACTGTGTTTGGGAGTGTAGTGTTTTATTGATAACTGACCTCAGCCAGAAACCTCTTTTGTTGTCTTTTTAAAATGCACTTGGTTTTTAAATGTGTTTCCTGTCCTCAAGCTGATTTTCACACTCCCTACACCTTGTTTTGAAGGGGTTCAATTAAGTATTTGTTCAGCTTGTTATACTGAACACTCTGACCCTGTGCCTTTCCTGGAGCCTGTTTTGATTTGCTTGTTAGTGAATTTTATTTAAAAAGTCTGTTTTGTTTCTAATTTGCTTCTTCCTCCTGAAAGCCTGGTGCCCAAAACAACAAAAGCAAAACGCATTTAGAAGGGCTGATTGAGGGTTCTTACGCTTCTGCTGAGGTTTTAGGCTGCGGTGACTCTCAGGAGGAAGTCTCAGCCAGATCATTCTGCTTCTCTTCCGTCCACACCCTCACCAGCTGGTTGGATGGTCTTTCACTGAGTGACTGCCGTGTGCCAGGCGCTCTGCTGGACACCCCGAAAAATTACCTTGCTGCTTCCTATGCTCACTGGAGGCCTAAGTGGCTGTGAGAGATAATGGAAAGCAGAGAAGGAAGCTAAGGAGAATTGACTTTTTTTTTCTGTAAAATTTCTATCTTCTGCCTTTCTCCTTCTCTTTTTAAAATCATGCAGCTTTGCCAAATCAGATGAGTTCATTGTCTTTTTGGGGTTGAGAGCAGAGCTTGAAACTCCCTCTGTGGACCTCGGGTTGCCAGAGAGCGAGCCTGATGCACAGATTAAGTCAGCCTCTTGCCCAGAACAGTGGCTTCCGGAAGCTGTTGGATGATTTATTTGCGCCTCCTGATGCTCTTCCCTTTTTTTGTTATCCCCAGGCCTCACTGAGAGGGTCCACTCAAACACCTGTCCTTTGCCAAGACTCTCTCACTCTGCTCTTTGACTGGGCAAGAGGGCCATTTTTTTCCCTTGTATTCTTGGCGTCTTAAAATGACCTTGCTTTTTTAAATTTAATTTTATTTATTTATTTATTTTTAAAGATTTTATTATTTCCTTTTTCTCCCCAAAGCCCCCCGGTACATAGTTGTATATTCTTCGTTGTGGGTTCTTCTAGTTGTGGCATGTGGGACGCTGCCTCAGCGTGGTCTGATGAGCAGTGCCATGTCCGCGCCCAGGATTCGAACCAACAAAACACTGGGCTGCCTGCAGCGCAGCGCGGGAACTTAACCACTCGGCCACGGGGCCAGCCCCTTTATTTTTTTATTTTTTTTATTTTTTTTTACTTTTCTGTCTAAGTCCTCCTTATTTCCTTCCTTGGACCTGGGGCAGCCTTTTTGCCATGCTGAAGCTGATATACTCTAACTAGTTTCCTTTGTATGATCTTCATAGATAAACATAAAAGAACTTTGTACAGTTCATTTTACCATACTACGCTGTACTGTTGACATACTCTCAAGGTTCTCTCCACCTCTGTCGGTCTTATATCCAATTCTGCTCCTCTTGCAATTCTGCCTTTCTCAAAACCCTTCAGGTCTCCCCTTTTCCTTTGAATGCAGTATAAACACCACCTGTTTCATTCAAGGCCAGCTACAAGATGGTTTCATTGCTCTTCACATTATTATTTGGCGAGGGGGGGGCAAATTCTTTTTATTACATTATACAACCCAGTTAACCTGGTCTACTTGATGTTCTCTGGGCTTAACCTGCATTTTCCTACTTCAGTGCATTTACTGCAAACTACCACCTCCTTTCCTGATGAAATAAAGCCCTGTTTGAAATGCTTCCTCCAGGAGCCTTTCCTGGCCTCCCCCCACAAGACTTGTTCTTCCCGTTTTGAGTTCCCTCTCTTACGGCACTAATCACAGTCCTAGACTTGTATTAGAGTAAGTTTGTCTATAGAATATCTTTGGAAGAATACAGAAGAAACCAGTGCAGTGCCTTGGAGGGAGGAACTGAGTGACTAGGAGACAGGAGAAGGGCTTACTTTTCCCTACAAACCCTTCTTACTTTTGGAGTTTTACACCATGTGTGTATATATATCCTATGATTTTTTTTTCGGTAAAAGTATTATTTACATCACAAAGACCCAATCAATAAAACATTAGAAGAAGATATTGGAGAGATGTTTATAACCTCAGAGTAGGGAAAGTGCCCTTAAACAAGACACAAAACCCAGAAGCCATAAAGAAAATGACTTTTAAAATATGTGTGTACTTATTTGTCATATACCTATTTGGCTACAAGTTCTTGAAGTGCTTATCATTTTTTAGAGCATAGCACAATGATCCCTACACAGTAATCAGTCAGTATTAGTTGAACTGAAATGAAACTGAACTGCAAGTCACTTCTTTGTAGACCTCACTTTTTTCACTTATAAAATGAGGGCTATGTGATCTCCAGGGTCCCGCTCAAAGATTCTATGCAGATGTGGGCTTTCTGGGCAGAAATACGCAGCAAGGCAGGAGTGGCTTTAGAATCAGCACCTCTTCCCCTGAGACCCATTCCCAGCCCATTGGACCTGTGAGTGGGTGCTGCTTGCTTTCAGGAGCTGCCGTGGGGTGCTCAGCATTAATTATGTCGAGGAAATGAACTGATTAGACACAGTCCAAGGAGAGCCAGGGGGATCTGTCGCAGGCTTGCTGCCGCAAACAAAAGAGGGAAAGTGTGAAGGGTAAACAGTTCACTGAGGTTTCTTTGGAAATCTGGCTAGCCAGCTCTTTGAACTGCTTGGCTAAAGTTTCAAGAGGCACCAGAGGGAGTGTGGTGCGTATGTGTCCCTCTGTTCAAGACTTTGGGCGAAGTGGTGGTGTGGGAAGAGTCTGGCGAAGACATGTCCTTAGAGGGGACTGAGGGGGCTTATTTGGGCTCCTGTACTCGTGTCAGAGAAGCTGCCCAGACCTCTCCTCTGGGTCCCTGTGGCACCTACCCCAGCTTTGTTTTGTTAACAGCTCTTTAAAAATGGAGTCTTTTCTCCCCTTCTCAGTAATAAGCAGCTTGAGAGCAGGAAGCCCTCATCTCTCTTTCAACTTGGTATCCACCCCCCAGCCTGGCTGGCAGTCAGCTTGCTTAATAGCAGTTTGTAGGTTGAAGGGAAGTGGTGAGAGGCTGTAAGGGCACCTCTGCATGAGAGAGTGGTGGGCGGTCCTGTGAATGGGAGAGCCCCTTATCTTGGACAGCCAGAGACTGCAGGTTTGTTAGAGGAAGTGAGAAAAAGAAACAGTTCTTATTCTCCTACTGATGCCCTTGTGATAGTCAGGCTAGGGGCAGGGTATTTGTCAGCAAAATCAGATGTCCTTTGGAAACTTTTATTTTCCTTGCTTTCGTAGGGCTTTTGGAAAGTTGCTTTTGGAAAGTTGCGGTTCGTGGGGCGTCCTGCCAGTGTGTCTTCTCTCCCAACCCAGCCTTCCAAACAGTCATCCCTTAGTGCCCCTCCTATTTTACTCTCTCTCTGTCTTTGCAGTGTGTTCCCTGCCCCCGGAACCAGAGAATGGTGGCTACATCTGTCACCCCCGGCCCTGCAGAGACCCCTTGAACGCAGGCAGTGTCATCGAGTACCTGTGTGCTGAAGGCTACATGTTGAAGGGTGATTACAAATACCTGACGTGTAAGAATGGAGAATGGAAACCAGCCATGGAGATTAGCTGCCATCTCAACGAGGGTCAGTTTGGCAGATGAGAAAGGGGTGCTGCTGGGGTTCTGCTTTCCTTGAATTCACAGGAAGTCGTGCCAGCTTCTTCTGGGGCACCCTGTGCTCTGGGTCAGTGTAGCCCCCGTGATGTCCTGCAGCCTCCCTTCCTTTGGGATTTTGTGTCTTTATGAGAGACCTTTGGGGTTGCTGGTGCATGTCCCACCGCATTTCAGCTGAGCCACTGAGGGGCTCAGTCTCTTTACTGAGGCATCTATTCTGCCATGTAAAGTCCCTTTGATGCTCAGGATCTCGTTTGCCTAGCCAAGTGCTGGTAACCTTTGACCGTGTTTGCTAACACATGAGCACAATGCTAACACCTTCTGTAGTGTCTCTTTTATATTATTTTTCCTTGACTGGAAATGGACTGTTTTGTTATGAAGCTACAGTCCAGCTGGACAGAGGATCCCTCCCCCTCCTGCCTCCTCCTGTTGTGCATGACAGGAAAATCCAACTGCCTGCAGGAAAGTGTGTGTCATATAGTCATCTTTGGGCTTTATACTGAGGCTTCAAGACCGTGACACCCCAGAGACGGGTGGCAACCGGCCTGAGATTTACAACTAAAGCTACAGGCTTGGAACAGTGGGTTATTACAGCCCAGTTCTTATAAATTTTCTGCCATATGGGGAAAAACAGGGTTGAGACTTAAGATGGTGGAATGATGTGTCCATTTAAATGGTTGGTGTCTACCAACCTGCTATTGAGGACAGGATCAGAAGTGGTTTATAAAGGTAACCTGATCTCTAGAGGTAAGTGAGTTTATGTTAGATGATCCTCAAAGGTCCGAAGTGAAGGGAACTTTAGACTCAGGGACAGGATAGGGAAATGGCCCCTTTGCTTGTGTGTAAAAGCTGCTCTGCTCTGTTAACTCCTAGAATGGCCCTGGCCATGGCATGTTCTCTGCCTGGTGCCATGCAGGGGGCCTTTGTTAAGATCAGCTGTAGAGGCTCACATCTGGGTACAAAAATTTCTGATGATGGTTTGTTTCTGTAGATAAAGATGCCCACACGTCACTCGGTGTCCCCACGCTCTCCATAGTGGCTTCCACTGCCAGCTCTGTGGCGCTCATTCTCCTCCTTGTCGTGCTGTTTGTGCTGCTGCAACCAAAGCTGAAGTCTTTCCATCACAGTAGGTGAGTCCCGGGGATGGTGAGAGGCAGGAGTCACTATGGGGGCCTGGCCTTTGGCTGTCAGAGGGGTGCTGATGGTGCCTCTGCTGGTCTGTGTGTGCTCAGGGAAAGAGGAGGACCTTGCCGTGTGTTAAACTTCTGGATAGGCCTGGCACTCCGCTTGTTGCTTTGCATACATTCTCTTAATCCTCACAGGAACGTTGCAGATAAGGAAACTGAGGCTCAGAGAGGTTAAGTCATTCACTCAAGGTCATCCCTCTAGATGATGACAGAGCCGAGGTTCAAACCCAAATCTGTCCAACTCCAGAGCCTTGTCATTTCCCCTACATCAGTGGTTCTCAAAGTGTGGTTCTAGCAGCGTCAGAATCACCTGGGAACTTATTAGGAATACAAATTTTCAGGCCCCATCCCAGACCAACAGAATGAGAAACTCTGGGGCTGAAGCCGGCAACATGATTTCACAGGCCTTCCAGCTGACTCTGAATAAGGCTCATGTTTGCGAGTCACTGCCTTTGTCCCCCCGGTTCCCAGTCCTGGCTGCACATAGAGGCACCTGTGGGGAGTTAAAAGCAAATACCAATACCTGGGCCTCAATTCCCAGACAGTCTGGTTTGTTTGGTTTGTGGTAGGAGCCTGGCGTTAGAGTTTTTTGAAAAGCTCCCCAGGTGGTTCTAATGTACAGTGAGGATTGGCAACCAGTGTGCTGCACCATGCTAGAAGCAGAGGAAGTGGTTTTCCTGCCCGCCTTTGTCACTTTCCTTTTTCCAGTTGAGTGCATTAGCCACAGATCATCCCAGACTGGGTGGGTAAGGCTGAGGAGACAGGTGGCAAAGGGTGGGGCGCTGACCCTGAGTGGATCCCCTAGCATGGACTTCTTTCCCAGGCTGTCGTGGCCTCCACAGTTGCTTGGCTTGTCCTGGCAGTTCCTCCTTCCCTTTTAGGAGGAGAGTTTATATTCTTTCACAGCCCTTCATCAGTCACTATTCTCACTCACAGGCACGAAGGAACACACTAAAGTGCATTAAATACAATGGTCCTGGTTTGGAATTTACCAGGCTAAGTTTAACCTCTGTGTACTGCATGTAATTTCTCTTTTTATTTTGTTTTGTTTGAGGGAGGGGGTAGCAGCTATTTTTAAAGGTTGTTAGACAATTAGTAAAATAAAGAGGATTTGGAGACAACTGTTTACTTGAAAGAATCAGCTTTTCCATATAAAGTCAAGCTGATCTGTTGGTCATTTCATGCAACTTAGGGAGTTTTTTCCCCCCTTGTAGTTAACTAGTAAGTGTGTTAAAAGTAACTGGCTGATTTTGCCTGACTTGTGTGGGAGGGAGATTTGGTTTTCATCATAGACCTTGTTTAAATTCTGTACTATGGGGGCCGGCCCCGTGGCCAAGTGGTTAAGTTCGTGTGCTCTGCTTCGGCGGCCCAGGGTTTCACTGCTTTGGATCCTGGGCGCAGACATGCCACCGCTCATCGGGCCATGTTGAGGCGGCATCCCACATGCCACAACTAGAAGGACGCACAACTAAGAATATACAGCTATGTACCAGGGGGCTTTGGGGAGAAAAAGGAAAAAAATAAAATCAAAAAGAAAAATTGTACTATGTAAATGTATTACTTTTTAAACAAAAAAATTTTTGAATACCAAAAATTAGACACATGCCAGCATGCTCACTGCCTTGGACGCCAGCTTGCCATCGTTTCCCTTCCTTCCAAAAACCTCTGAGCACTTTTATGAGTGCCACCTTGTGTATGCCATTTGAATTGAGTAGCACAGATTTTATCTGCAAGTACAGATGAGGAAATTGAGAACCGGTAATAACAGTCTAGCAGTAATAATATGGTCCAGCTGTAGACCTTATGTGTCTCATGTGATGCACTGAGGGTGATGCAGCGTCACAAATGATGTTGTGGTATTCTAGGCAAAATGTAGTGTTCTGGGAAAAAATTGATCTGAATCTAATCCCGAGGAAACAATTAGACAAGTCCAGGTTATGGGACCTTCTGGGAGACAGCTGGTCTGGACTCTACAAAAAAATGTCATGAACGGAAACTATAGTGGATTGTTCTAGATTAAAGGAAATGAAAGAGAAAGAACAACTAAATGCAGTGTATGATCTGTAATTGGATCCTGGATGAAATCAAACATGACAGCAGCTGAAATGGATATATTTTTGAGTAGTTGGGAAAATTTGTATTACAGTATTAGACCAATGTTAAATTTCCAGGATGTCATAATGTTGTAGTTATATTGGAGAGGAGGTTCTTGGGAGGTGTGTGTTAAATGATATCTTATTAGCAAGAAATAACTTACTTTCAAAATGGTTCAGAAAAAAAAGTGTGTGTGTATTACAAAAGTGATCCCAAAAAAGGTATTTGCATGAATAAATCTCACAAACATAATGTTGAGTAAAAAGCCAAACACACATATACATACACACATTTATTGTACATTCCATTCATATGAAGATCCAAAATATGCAAAACTAAACTGTGTTGTTGAAGGATTCGTATTTAGGCAGTCAAACTATGAAAATAAAAAGCAAAGGAATGATTTTCATGAAAGCTAGGATTGTGGTTACTTTCAGTGGTGAGGAAATAGGAAGTGATAGGCACAGGTACAAGGACTGTCTGCCAGTGGTGTTCTTTTTTTCCTCCTTCTCCCCAAAGCCCCCAGTACATAGCTGTATATTCTAGTTGTAGGTCCCTCTAGTTCTGCTATGTGGGACGCTGCCCCAGCATGGCTTGATGAGCAGTGCCATGTCTGTGCCCAGGATCTGAACCCATGAAACCCTGGGCCGCCAAAGTGGAGCACGTGAACTTAACCACTCAGCCACAGGGCCGGCCCCAGCAGTGTTCTATTTCTTGACCTAGGTAGGGTTATACACCTGTGTTATCTTTGGGATAAATCAGTGAGCATACATTTTTCTATGTGTTTTTTCTAATACTTATGTTATAATTCATATATAATTCTTACAAAGTTAAAAAATAAAATAAAAGGCAAGCAAAGTGGCTGAATCAAAACAAGAACATTTTTCAGATTTCAAGTCCAGAGTCCCATTTCAAGACCACAGTGCTGCTTTTCCCTCTCCTGTTTTTTTAAACAACTTTATAGAAATGTAATTCACATACTGTACATTGTACCCATTTAAAGTGTACAGGCAATGGTATATTGACAAATATGAACAACCATCATTCTCTCACTTTCTTACCCTAGCTATGCTGAATGGATGGCTTTATGTCAGGTCACCAGCTTCCTAGTTTTTTTGCCCAGGTCTAAGGGCTAGATGCCTTTGTACCCAGTCTCTGGACGCAGGTGGAAATTGATTCACGTCCTGCTTCGTCCCTTACCAGCTGTGGGACTGGGCAAGTTACTTAGCTTCTCTGAGCCTTATCTTCCTTCTTGCACCTGCAAAGGCTCAAAGGAGGATTCAGTGGGATGAAATGTATAAAGCACTTAGTGCTGTGCCTGGCTCATAGCAAGTGCCCAAAAATGGCTGGTGGTCTTGGTATTATGGTATTTATTTGTGTATTTTAATTCTTCCTTTGTCTTTTCTTCCTCCGTTGCAGGCGTGACCAGGGGGTATCTGGGGACCAGGTCTCCATCATGGTGGATGGGGTCCAGGTTGCATTACCATCATATGAAGAGGCTGTGTATGGCAGTTCTGGTCACTGTGTGCCGCCTGCTGACCCCAGAGTGCAGATTGTGCTGTCAGAAGGGTCTGGGCCCAGTGGGAGGAACGGGCCAAGGGAGCAGCAGCTGCAGGACCAGGGAGCTGGCTCCTCTGCAGGTGGAGAGGAGGAGGCCCCAGGCCAGTCTGGACTGTGTGAAGCCTGGGGCTCTCGGGGCTCAGAGACTGTGATGGTGCATCAGGCAACCACCTCTTCCTGGGTGGCCGGTTCAGGGAACAGTCGACTGGCACACAAAGAAGCCCCAGACTCAGAGAACAGTGACATACAAAGCCTTTTATCCCTAACGTCGGAGGACTACACAGATGGTAGGTAGTCTGCACTGATCCTGAATTATTAGCTGCTCAGGGTCCTTGTTGAGAGTGAGGAAGGAATGTGAGCCTCTCTAATAATTGGTGTATTTGGGGGCAAAGAAAGATAATACTAGGGGATTAGCCTACAAAGTAGGATTTCACCCTCAGAGCTCCAGGTCAGGCTTTGGGCTCTGTATCAGGAGACTTTTCATTGTTGTCTGTGAATTTTTATGGTTTGGAGTCTCTGAGACTATTTGTGGCCCAGGGCTGTGCTAAATCAAAGGGGAGACCGCTGGTTGGAGGTGGGAGTGGAGTCTCTCCTTTTGTTGTAATTTTTATGTTCCTGCAAGGACAGAAATGACAAGGAGGTGTGGGGTCATATTACAGAGAAAACATGCCTGTCTCTGTTCCAGAGCATTCCGCTGCTTCATTTTAAATAGGAGTATGTCAGGTCCTCTGCTAGTTGGTTTTCTTGCACTGTCTCAGTTAAACCTCACAGTGATCCTGAGAAGTAGATATCATCACCATTTCCATTTTGCAGTTGAGGAGACTGAGGCTCAGAGAGGGTGAGTCACTTGCCCATTGGTAAGTGGCTGAGCTGGGATTTGAAGCCAGATGTGTCTGGCTCCAAAGCCTGTATTTATAACCCCACAGTGCTATGCTGCCTCCCAGATGACTCCAGGTTCTTTGTGGCAAACCAGCCATACAATGAAATTGCCACGTCCTGACCCCTCTGGTTTTGCCAGAGCCTAGAGTGTTGAACCTTGGGATTGACTCTGTCACTTTAAAAAAATGTCTTTATATGAAATCCCAATGCGGTTCAGGATGCAGACTAAACCTAGACGTTTCCCTTTTGACACTGAGGACTTCTGCATTTACCAAGCCCCCGTAAAAGAGCCTTTGAGAAAATTTGATGCCTCCTGGGGGTCCTGGGCACAGCTACTGTCTAAGTTTAGAATATCTGAAATCAAAGAAGTTGGAAATTCTTGAATGCAGGTCATGGTTAGGAGTTTCCTGATTCTCGACAACATGGCTTCTTTTTTCTTGGTAAGATATAGAACTAGGAAGCAGCCATTAAATAGTTGACCTAGGTTTAAAGGTAGAAGCCAGTGACCTCATGGGCACCCAACTGTACATATTGTGTGTCTACACATAGTGACCCATGTCCAAGTACAAATCCTCAGCCCTTACACTTCCTGAGGAGCCAAGATGGTGCCTACTCTTCTCTCCTCCTTGCTCCCTTGCTTTGTTCCATGTATGGAACAGCATTTTTGAGAACCCATCTTGTACCTGGTGCTGGATTAGCTTTCAGGGTTGATAGAAAGAAATATGAAACATGCTCTCGGCCTGAATGGATTGTCAGTCAGTTGGGAAGATGGGGCCTATACTCAAGAAATAATGGAACCAAGAATTGTAGGGTCCATGTCAGAATGAATGGTTTAGAAAACACATGACATAGGTTATCAGGTTTGTTGCAAGCCATGCCTGAGCTGTCTGGGGCTCGCAGTCCTGTAGGAAGTCAGGACCTCGAGGCATCAGTCTAACCCCATTGACATAAGAAAGACTGAAACCCAGAGAGGGGAAGTGAGTTGTTCGGTATCACACAGCTGGAAGATGTCTTTAAGGAGGAGGTGGGACTTAAGCAGGGCTCAGGAGCCTCATAGGATGAGATCAAAGACAGAAAAAGAAGTAATTAGACCAGCAGGGTTGAGGTCAAGAGGAGGGTTCAAGCTGCTGGGACCAGAAGGGGTTTGAATACCTGACTGAAGATTCAGATTTTATCACACAGGCAGAGGGAGAAATGAGCAAGGAAGGCCTAAAAGAGGCGAGACTATCCAGAAGTGTATGAGTAGGGCATTTTGTTTCTTTAAACAGGGGCTGCATGGGTATGCCTGCAGTGGGATCAGGTGTACTGCAGAGCCACATGGGGTAACCACTTTTCTTTCCTTCCTTCTCTTCCTGCAGATATCCCACTGTTGAAAGAAGCATGAGGTCTGCCACTAGCCTCTCTCCTCTGCGATGGTCCTCTCTGTCCTTCCTCCCTCTCCCTGTGGGTTTGAGCACCCTGTACTCCAGCCACCCTACCCGGATACCTGAGCTGCCACCTGTGTATCTGTGTATTTCTGTATCTCTGAGGGCCTGCAGGCCCACCTCGCTGGAAACTCAAGGAAGATTCTCGCCATCTGCCTGCTGGACAGCTGGAGGAGCTGGCTTTTTGCCTAGCGCTGCCTCCCCATCTATGTCGGGGACATATGTGAATGTGCTGGATTGAACCCTTCCTTTCCTTGAGCCCTCTGGGTCCCCTCCAGCCAGCTCTTTGGCGGCTGGAGTTTACTTGTGCCTTCCCCCCACCTCGTCCACTTTCCCTGTCACACAGGCTTGTTCCTGTCCTACAAGCTGTAGTGGCTGCACTGCTGCCCCTGCCCCCTAGGGCTGGGCTTGGGTCTGGCCTATTTCCTTTGAGGGCTGGCATTGCTGTCCTTACTTAGCAGGAGCAGATCCAAGAGTGCCTCTAAGTGGGGCGAGAATGTGGGTCCCTGCGCCTGCCCTTGGTTGACACCAGTGCCACATTTCCTTGGCTGAGAATGGAGGACGTGGAAAACCATGCCAAAGCCATCCCAGCACCCGTTCCTAGCTCGGAGGTGCCGGCTCCTGGCCCCTCTCGGTTGAGTTTCCAGGAAGCATCCAGAAGATCCCAAGGGAAGGAAGGAAGGTGATCATTAATGATTGTCTTCCTGATCTGCAAGTTCTCACTTTCTACTTCCAGCATCCGCTTTCCTGGCCTCGGTTTTTCTGTTTCCCTGGAGTGTAAGAGGAAGTTGCATGCTGCCTTTCGGGTTTGGTCCTAGGCAGCTCTGGCTTCCTTGCTGCCCACAGAGGCCTGAGGTGAATCATCCCTGGGACAGGAGAGTTGCTGAGATGCCACAGAATGCCCATCTGGTCACTGGCAGTTGGGGCAAGTTGCCCCATTTTGGGTTCTTGGTGATGGAAGGGAGCCTCAGAGTCATAGGCCGAGTCCCCAGGCAGCTGCAGGCAGCTCCAGCCCTGGTCCTGAGGGTCCTCCTCACCACAGTCACGTGCCTTAGTAACTGTGCCAGGAAGCGTCCTGCTGCTTGCTGCGCTGCTGCTTTTCCTACTCCCGCCCCCACCCCCTGCACCCCTGCACAGCTGGCAGCCACTCCCTGGGCTTCCCTGCACCCTGGGGGAGGGACGGAGAGACCGTCCGCATACACCCCTGCCTTGTTGGCCTGCGGTGGGTGAATGGTTGTGAAGCAGCCTGGCTTCAGGGCCCTAGTGTTGAAGGAGTGGGCTCAGCGCTCCAGATGATTCTTCTGGGGCCTCTCCCTCAGCCATGTGTTGGATGCTGATGAGGCTGGGGTCGTAGAGCTCCCCCGGGCTGCTGCCATCTTCAAAAGCCGTGGCATTAAGGAATGCTTGTTTTTGTTTTGTTTTGAAGCACTAGGGCTGGGAAGCTTCAAAGCTGACCCTGTGCTGCACCTCTGCGCCTCCCCCGAGCCTCTCTGTGTGGGGTGGTAAAAATAATAAAGAGCCCAGTCTGTTTTCAGTCCCTGACCCCACAGGGTAGCTCCAGCTGTGGGTGGCCTCGAAGACGAGGGGAGTGGCTATCTCTCAGCCTCCTGCCTCCGCTCTCACACACGCACTTTACTACCCGCTCATTCCCAGGCCTCTTGCCACCACTTGTAGTCTTCCTTCCTCTCAGGTAGGGGCAGTGCTTGCTGTGCCTGTTGGCCACTCCCGCGTCTCTCCCCTTCACCCTGGAGCCCTCGCATGCTGTGCCCAAAACCCAGGCCAGCGTGGTTCGATTGGGAACAGGTTGGCAAAGGTGCTAGAATGAGAACGCAGAGGAAGATGAAATGGACCAGGAGCCTGTCCTTGGCCTCAGGAGAAACTGTTTCCAGAGATGTGCCTGCCAGCAGTTGGCTGGCACTAGGCCTGTCTGGAGGCGGGGGTCCCCACAACCCTCAGCTGCCTCGCTCATGGGAACCCTAGTCTTCCTCCGAAGAAGAAAGCAGGGCAAGTAGAGAGGGTCCAAAGTCTGCCTGCCGCTCGCATTTCCCAATCTTCCAAAACCTGAACTTTTGAATACTTTAAAAATGGAAGATCTTATCCTTTCTTATGTCATTACTCTGGGTTTTTTTCCCCCTGAGATTGCACTTTTTATTTTGGGTTTATTCAGCCACATAGGTGACTGGCTTGGCCCTTGAAAAAATGAAAAGCCTTCTTTCACCTCACCTACCCTTAGCACCATCCTGGAGATTATGAGCCCATACTTCCCTACCTGGTAGGAAGGAAAGAAGCCAGGATAAATGGGAACCTCCCCTCCCCTCCCCCACCTCCCTTGTCACTGGCTTTGATGAGGCCTACCTCCCCGAGGCCCCTGGGCCTGTGGGTGCAGGAGCCAGGCCTTGCATTGCTGCTGACATCTATGATGGCTTCTTCCAGCAGTTGGTTCTCTTCCCTGAAGCAGTTTCTTAGCCATCAGCTACGTGCTGCTGTTTCTAGGGCTTTTGGGCTTTGTCCCTTGCAAGAGATTAGGGACACCACAGCTGCCTTGAGGTGGGGCCTGGCTGAGAGACAATGGCCCTGTCGGGTGGCAGGCTGTCAGGAAGGAGACTGCTAGAGGAGCCTGGAGCAGGGGGAAAACTGCACATGGTCTGGCTTGCCTGGGCTCCCCTCCGGGGGAGCCCAGCAGAGGGCTTGTCCAGGAGAATGGTCAGCACCAAAGGACTTTAAGAAGGTGTTTTTTTGCACATGTGAGCTGACTGGATGCAGGTGTTATATCCTGGTGACTTGCGGTCACATTCCAGCAACTTTCAAGGGCCAGTATATGGTAAAAATAACTTAAAATTGCCGTCCCTTTCAATGCCTTAGTTTACTAGATAGGCTCTATCTTTTGCCATTTCTGAATTTTGTATGCTGTTCCCATTTCACTGGGTGTGAACTGTGAAATGGGCTGAGTCCTGGCCATTTTGTGAGTTCTTTTGGTTTTATAAGGCATTTCGATGTATATTCTACTAACACTCCGTTTGCAAACAATTTAAACTAAAGTGGTCTTCCTCGTGCATCTTGCCCTCTTCCCTGCGTCCCCACCGCGCCCCGCCCCCCGCCAGCTTCAAAGTTCTATGGAGAAGCTGGATGGCAAGACAGACAAAGGTAGACTTTTCCTGCTTCATGAGTAGTGGCACAGGGATCCATGGCCCTCAGCCTTTCCCCTTCCAGTCCCGGCTGAGCTCTCAACCACCTGCTTCCCACATAACTGTGTCACTTCCATTGCCAGGGAGCACCCTTACATAGAGAGTGGAATATGCTGCAAACATTTCTACATCCTTGCCTTTTCTTTTTCCTCCTTAAAGAGAATAAAAGGCCCAGAAGGGACTTGTTACATAGGCTTTACAGCTTAATTCCAGATGTGCTTGCTGAGGACCGTGAGGCTGGGAGCTTGTCTCGTGGGGCCTGCTGGAGCTCCTGGGTCTCAGCACAGGGACAGTCATTACTGTTGTGCACTGGGGGGCTCTGAATTTTGCTTGGCAGATGTGTGGACTGAGTGGTAGAGTAGCTGGTCCCCTGGAAAGGCAGCAGGCTCCGCTTTGCTGGGAAGCAACTCTTCATCTCCAGTTGAAAACTTAGTAGAATTTTTAATGAAAACCCCAGGGTGGAGCCCTCTGCCAGGCAGAGCTAGCTGGGAGCACTGCAGGGGCTCAGCACTTGGATTGCCAAGCAGGGAGGAGAGATGGACACCGGTTGCGTGGCAGCCCACACACCCTGCCCTGGCTGCTGCTTATCGCACCACTATGGAATCCTCTGCAGAATGGTACTCATATGTAATGGTTTAAAATGACACGTGTGTCATTGACTCTGTGCAGGATGTCACTCAATCAGTTTGGATTTGCTTTATTTTATATATATATTTTTTGGTATCCTGTACATTGCAGTGGGTGTGAAGATAGTATTTTAATATTTGTACAAAGTTTAATTTAATTTTAATTGTTCTATGTATATAACTGCATTTCTAAATAATAAAAAAAAATTTTCCTATGAAGGCAGTAGTGAGAGGTGTGATCCTTCCAGAAGGTGTTTGCAGAAACCCTAGACCGAAAAGAGTGTATCATGTGGGTGGGAGCTCCTGAAGGGATGAAGCATTGGTTCTGCGGGGAGGGGCGTCTGGCAAGAGGAGATGGGACGGGGAGGTGGTCTATGATACAAGAGAGACCACAAACGTAGTGGGAGTGTATTACTTCTCTCTTTTAAGTTCAGCCACTGATCAAGCTGGGATTCAGCAGTGAGCAAAACCATGTATTTTGGGCCTGCGTGGAATTTCTGACACACTGGGAAGGCAGACAGTTCAAATAGTATGTAGTGGTGACCAGAAAGGTACGATGGAGGACAGTCAGAAAGCACCTTTTGCTTGAAATGGCTTGTAAGCTGAGATGTGAAGCCAGTACAGCGAGGCTAAGAGGCAGGACACTACATCTGTGTGGGTTCAAAGGCAGCAGAGAGCACATGCAGTTTGAGAAACTAAAAGGAGTCTGGCGCTGCGTGGTAGGTCTGAGGGGGGATGGCTCAGGATGAGCCGAGACGGTTGGGCAGAGGCTAGATTGTGAAGGGCTGTACTTCATCCTAAGGGCAACAGGAAGTGCCTTAACAGTTGTACGTAACAGAATGACTTAGTAAACTGCATTTTGCAGCTGGGGTGGGGGGGAGTGCTCTCCATCTCTTCAAGAGAATGAATTTAGCGGGTAGAACATACTGTACCTGGAGACCATGTGGGAAGTTGTTGGTCTTGGGGAGAAGAAGGCAGTTTGAGCAGCTAGGTGAACAGCAACAGTGTTCTCTGAGATGGGAAATGATGGAGATGTAAAGATGAAAGCCAGAGTACGTGGAGGTGAAGAGGTCATTGCCAGCCAGGAGAGGCCAACAGTAGGTGAACAGTTACAACAGGTGGAAGGGTGTGAGTAGAGGGATAAAAAAACAGACCACCGTTAAACTTGCCGTGAGGGTAACAATCAGGATGTGTTTCTCTAACACACAGTGACAGATGGGAAAACATTTTAGGGGCAACAGTGCCAACCACCCAGTCTCAACCTCAGCACCAGTCCTCAGTAGGGTCGGCACAAATATCACTGCCTTTAGTTGCAAGGAGGTGAAGGGAAGAGCACTTAGCAACTTTTTAAAGTAATGCTAATAGCTGATACTCATACAGCACTATGTCCCAGGCAGCGGCCTAAGCACTGTGTGTGTATAAACTCAGAGAATCCACACAGCAACTCCACGAGGCAGGTGCTATTATTTCGCAGAGCCCCAGGCCACGTATAATGAATCTGAGGCACAGAGGTGAACTCACTTGCCCAAGGCAGAGCAAGGATTGAGTGCAAACCCAGATGTTCCGCTGGAGTGATCCCCTCCCCTGCCCATTCCTACCCCCATCCGAGGCTGCCTTCCTCTGCCTGTCAGTCTCTGTTCTAACCAGTGAGCTCAGGGAGAGGAAAAACTAATTGCAGGGCGGAGAAATGGCACACTGTTCACTAGGATGATAAACTACCCTCTTCTCAAGGAATGGGAAGTGCCCAGCATGGTATGGGGAGGGGCATTCAAGCTAGGCAGAACATGGTAAGAAATAAGTTCACAAAGCAGAAGAAATTGTTCCTCCAGAAGAAGAAAATATAAAAAGAAGAGACTGCTTATTTCAGTGATGGCTAAGTCTTCATTGTTGCTGGAAAACTGGCAGAAACATGTCCCATCAGGTAAAGAATGCTGGGGAGGGGAGACGTGTCAACATGAGGTCACCCAAGGGGTTGTTGCCTTTCTCTTGATGAGAGATGAGGCAGGACAAAGGTGACAGAACCCACAAAACCTGCAGAGCTGCCCACGAAGAAGGGCTTACTTTGAAGCGGCTGCCTCAGGCTGGGAGAGGTGGATGGAGGAGAGAAAAGGGATTTCCTGCCCTGTTGCCGAACACCCACCTCCCAACTTGGAAAGCTGAGGCTTCCAGACTACAAAAGTAGTAACAATCCCTCAGTGGGTCTTTCTCAGACTACTTAAAAAATATCTCTAAATATGCCAAAGTAATACATACTCATTTCAGAAAATTAAAATCACTCAATACTACCTCCTACTGCTAATATTCTTCTTTCTTCTATGCCTAAATATATTTTCCTCTAAAAGATCACTTTTTTTTTTCTGAGGAAGACTGGCCCTGAGCTAACATCCATGACCTTCCTCTACTTTCCATGTGGGACGCCTGACAAAGCATGGCTTGATAAGCGGTGTGTAGGTCCATGTCTCGGGTCCAAATTGGTGAACACCAGGCTGCCAAAGCAGAGAACACAAACTTAACTGCTATGCCAGCAGGCCGGCCCCTAAAGATCACTTTTTTAGTAGTATTTTGGGTTTTTTAAGCCTTACAATCTATTACAATCTCATAAAACATTCATCTACATAATTTTTAACAGTTGCATATGTTTCCATCATATTGGTAATTTGGACTTTTAGGTTGCCATAAAAATTTTAAATTCTTATGACCAATGGTTTGCTAGCATTTAAAATGATTTCCTTGGGATAAATGACTGGAAATGAAATTGCTAGATCAAAAGAAATGCACATTTTGGTGACTTTTGATATATCTCAAATTGTCCCCCAAGAAAGTTATTCCAAATTCTCTTCTCATTGCTGGTGTTCATTTTCCCACAACCTCACCTGCATTGGGAATTATCATTTAAAAAAAAATATGCCAGTTGAAAGAAAGTGGTATTATTTTTGACTCACGCTTGTTTCATTATTCCTGAAGTTAAAATTTTAAAATGTAGTTTGTTTACTCTTCATAACAAAGACATACTGAAAATTGTCCACATTTGATGTCCAAGGCATCCACGTTTGAGATGAAAAGTCAAAAACTCTGAGTCTCCATCTAAATTAACATATATATATATATATATATATATATATATATATAAAATGCATAATATATATAAATAGATAAACAGGGAATTTCATCTGAAATTCCTGGGGCAAAGAATGAATCTGAACCCAGGCAAGACATAACACATTCTCAAGACAGGCCTGGGTTGCCCCTCTAAGCTCCCTGGAGGTAGAGGAGTGTCAGAGGGCTTGGGGACCATCCCATCCCACGCAGAGAGGTGAACAGCTGGTGGGCATTTCAGATTTCCCATCATGCCCCAGTGCCCCCAGAAAAGGAAATTTCACAACTTAGGAATGTCCTGAGCAGCCCGTCTGGGGCAGCAT